CGTTGTTCCTAGAAAAAGAAAGGGAAAAATTGATGAACCCTCGAACCAAGTGGTTCCTAGTGAGAATGCTCTAGATGATTCTGTTGAGCCTGATATCGGAAAACTGATATCAAATCCCGGGAATACCGAGAATCCCATAAGTTATTGCTATGAAATATGTGATAGAAATGAGATAATCATCGATAATATTTTTGCATTCTCGGTTGCACAAGAAATTATGATGATTATGATAGTGAACCGCGTTCCATAATGGAATGCCGCCAAAGAAATGATTGGCCTAAGTGGGAAGAAGCAATAAAATCTGAATTGGCTTCCCTAGAAAAACGGAAAGTATTCGGGCAAATCGTTCAAACTCCGGATAATGTAAAGCCCGTTGGGTATAAATGGGTATTTGTCTGTAAGAGGAACGAGAACAATGAAATTGTAAGATATAAAGCCCGCATTGTAGCTCAAGGTTTCTCCCAGCGGCCTGAGATTGATTATGATGAGACGTATTCACCAGTTATGGATATGATCACTTTCCGTTTTCTTATCAATATGGTCGTCCAAGAGGGACTGGACCTGCGTCTAATGGACGTTGTAACGGCCTATCTATATGGTTCACTAGATTCTGATATTTATATGAAAATTCCCGATGGATTTAAAATGCCAAACTCTGGCGCTCATCGTGAGCTGCACTCAATCAAATTACAGAGATCATTGTATGGTCTAAAGCAGTCCGGTCGCATGTGGTATCATAGATTGAGTGAATACCTTATCAGGGAAGGTTATAAAAATTATCCTATTTGCCCATGCGTTTTTATTAAACGATAAGAAAAAGGATTTGCTATCATTGCGGTTTATGTAGATGACATGAACCTCATTGGCACTCCTGAAGAGTTGGCCAATGCTGCTGAATATCTAAAGAAAGAGTTTGAGGTCAAGGACCTTGGAAAAACCAAACTTTGTCTTGGTATTGAGCTTGAGCATAAAAATAACGGCATACTTATACACCAATCTGCATATACTAAACGAGTGCTCAGAAAGTTTAATATGGAAAATTCTAATTCATTGAGCACCCCTATGGTTGTGCGCAATTTAGATCCTGAAAAGGATCCGTTCCGACCTAAAGGATTTAATGAAGAGATACTTGGCCCTGAAGTGCCATGTCTCAATGCTATCGGAGCGTTAATGTATCTAGCACAATGCACTCGACTTGATATCGCTTTTGCGGTAAATGTGCTTGCGCGATACAGTTTTGAGCCTACCCGGAGACACTGGAATGGTGTTAAACATATTTTTAGATATCTCCGTGGTACTGCAGATTTGTGATTATTTTATTCAAAGAATGCAACTAACCAAGGGTTAGTTGGTTATGCCGGTGCGGGATATAGATCTGATCCCCATAAAGCTCGCTCACAAACTGGATATTTGTTTTGTTATAATGGTGCAGGTATATCTTGGCGATCTACCAAACAGACATTGGTGGCCACCTCCTCAAATCATTCATAAATAATAGCCCTTTATGAGGCAGGGAGAGAATGTGTTTGGCTACGATCCGTTATTTCCCATACACGAAATTCCTGCCAATTACATCCAGTTACAGACACGCCCACAGTCATTTACGAAGACAATGCTGCTTGTATAGCGCAAACAAGGGGCGGGTACATAAAAGGTGATAGGACCAAACATATATCACCAAAGTTCTTCCACACACATGAGCTTCAGAAGAATGGAGAGATCGATGTTCGACAAATTCGCTCATGTGGCAATCTTGCTGATTTGCTTACAAAGTCCTTGCCGACTTCTACATTTGAGGACTTGGTATACGCCATTGGAATGAGAAGAGCCAATATGAAGCAAGATTGACGGCCCATTTCGGAAGCTATATATACTGCTCATTTCAGGGGGAGCAATGGTGCGCTGCACTCTTTTTCCCTTATGACTGGTTTTGGTCCCATTGGGTTTTCCAGCAAAGGTTTTTAACGAGGCAGCTTATGCACACGGCTTGGATTGAGTTATGCACTCTTTTTCCCTTATGTTCGGTTTTGTCCCACTGGGTTTTCCGACTTGAGGTTTTTAACGAGGCATACATCTATATTTTACTCATCCAATTTAAAGCCACTACGAAAGATACTTAGTCCAAGGGGGAGTGTTGTAATACATATCCACATAATAACTTGTGGACTAAGTAAAGACTACGTGTCAAGACATCTTTATTCTAGCATGACAATGCTTATGTGAATCTCATGTATAAATAGAAGCATTGGCCATAGGAATTGTACAACTTTCATTTGTAAGCAAATAAAATTTCTCTCCCTCGTTTACCGTTCATCTTCATAGTTCATATATTTCTTTAGTTTGTCTTGTACTAATATATAATAGTTGGTTTATTCTATAACAAACGTGTCATTTTAAGGGTTATTACACTTGCACCACTAAATATGCATATACTTTTTAAATTTCAAATAATTTGAAAGAAAAAAAAAGAGTGGTCAAGAAAAAAAAATATAAAGTTAAAGTCAACATTGGTTGTTATTGGGTGAATACAAGAAAAACGGTCAGTCAACGGGTCAATTAACGAAATCGTAACATCAGACTTTCTAATTATCAATTGGTGTGTAGATTTAGAAAAAAATAAAATATTTAATGGTATTTTTTTTTGGGTTTATTAGGGAAAACCCCCTTGTTCATATTTTCTAATGAGGTAGATCCAATTTTTTTTCCCCTTTTTGAGATACACCCAATTTTGCCAACTTGGCAAAATATATTATATAATTTCCCTTTAATACCCCTGTTTTATTATTAAACGGCATTTATTTCCTTTAATACGTGATTTGAGATTTGCTGATACGTTGCCTAAAATCACGGAATAAATTTACGTGAGATCATTGGCCGTTATATCAAATCGTGTACAATATTTTTTGAAGATTCTCTTCATTGTTCCAGCGGGTTTTATCGTCATTGAAGATTTCTGCACCGTCGTGGAAATAGGATCGATTTTTGAGCGTTTGTTGTTGGACGTTGTTAAGCGGGTATGAATGCGTTATTCGTTTTTATTTTTTGCTCAATATCCATGATTGTCGTGTACGGTGGTTAGAAATTTTTAAGAGTTGTGTTGATACTTAATTCTATTAAGTAGAACGTTTTTTAACAAAATTATTCCGTCATATATATCGTTTTTCTTGGCCGATGATGTTTGTTTGGAAGAGGATTGACAGAGTTAGAAGAGGATGGTTCACGCAGATCGGACCAGAGTTGTTTTATATGAGCTTCGTAGTTGGTTTATGCAATAATCGGAATAATTGTCCGCTTTGGTCGAGTTCATGTTTTTATCCCGATCGATAGTTGGTTTATTTGTTTATAACAGTCGATTTAAGTGTGCTGGGTAGTACATTAAAATATAGTTCGTAGTCTTTTTTAATTTAGCGTATGAATTTTGCATTTTAAGTTTATTTTTGATGATATTAATGTATTATCATTCAAATGTATTTGCAGTCTATTTAATTATTTTTTAGTATTCTGCATTTTTAATTTTGTTTCATGATTTTAGGTTTTTTCGATGGCGAATTTCGTACGGATTTTGTTGAGGTTTGGTGGGTTGATTGCTATAAAGAGGTGTTTACGATGTAATGGCTCGGTAACTTCGGTTAAGTGTTAAACCGTTGTAATACAGTAGTATACTATTATGAATACCGTATGATACTACCATTATCATTTTATTATACTATTATGAGATTATTAATGTACTAGATCTTTTTAACTCGACATATTGGTTTGATTGTGTTATGATGTGTTTTATGTATTTTATCAAAACCCTTGATTGAAATTATGAGATTATTAATGTACTATTTTATTGGTTATGTGGAATACTTTACGTTGGTGTTGTTCTCAATGTTCTTGTCATTTCAGTGGTATATTGTTTGTAACACAATTTCATATCAATATTATAACCGTAATATACTATCATAGCAGATTAATGTACTATATTGAAATTATTAATATACTATGTGGTTGAATAATACGGGATCCATAGTCTATTAACGAGATCCATAGTCGAATTAGATCAATAAGATAGTCTATTACTTGATATAAGGAAAATTACCCTAATTGATTAGTATAACAAACATATTATTCAGTTTCCATATATATTATTATTTTTTCATATATATTATTATTTACCCTAATCGTTTTCATATAATAAGGAAAATTACCCTAATTGATTAGTATTTCAAACAAACATATTATTCAGTTTCCATATATATTATTATTTTTTCGAATAGTCAATTAATTAAACCCATAGTCGAATTAGATACATGGGATAGTCTATTAAAAGATATGAGACAGTCTATTAATTTAAAAAAGGTAAAGTAACGGGATTTGTGGGATTTGATTGAGGGTAATTATGTAATTACGAAAAGTTTGGGCTTTTATCAAAATGGCAAATTTAAATTTGGGTCTACCCCTATTATTTGAATGTTTAAGGGGGTTATATCTAATAGACCCTTTTTTTTTTTGGGTTTTTTTGAGAATATGAAAATCAAGATAGATAATGGCCAAATGAGAAAAGTAAAAGGGTTAATTTCACTAACATCCCCTATAATAATAGAAAATCTACATTTACCTTCTACTATGAAAATCTTTAATTACCCCCATGAATCACATTTTATACCAACTATGCCCTTTCTTATTCTTTTCTCCCCTTCTCGTTTTTCCGTTACCGTTTCTATATACAAGACAAGTCTATACTTCATTATAGTGATTTTTAGAGTTATTTTTTACACTAAATATTATTTTTTATTATTGATTCAAAAAGTTTTACAATGATATTAACATTTAGGGATTATTAGCAATACCCCTCATCTAGGAAATGTAATTAAGGAAACCCCCTCCCAAAAATAATTAGAGAAAACCCCCTTAGTTAGTATTCCACCAAATATTATTTTTATAATTCCAAATCTACCCTTATTTGTCAATGTATTATTTTGAAACCCTAATTCCTCTCATATTTAATCGAGAGCATGTTGTCGGAGCTCGGCAGCTCGAGTAACGGATTCGATATGATTTCCGGTAATCAAATTGGAATCTCCGGCGAATCTAATGGGTACGACGACGACCTCAGGGCGATTCCCGGCGGCGCAATTTTCAGCAACAAACAGAAGGACGACGCCGTTGACCTCCCCGAGAGCGCTAATAAGAGGACGAGATCTGAATTTTCCGAAACTGGGTTTCTGCCCGCCGCCGCCGCGGCGGCGGCGCTGCCGGTGATGGTGGTGGACTCGCAGGAGGCAGGGGTGAGGCTCGTCCACACTCTGATGGCGTGCGCGGAGGCCGTCCGGCAGGAGAACATGAAACTTGCCGACGCGCTGGTGAAGCACGTGGGCGTACTCGCGGTGTCTCAGGTGGGGGCCATGAGGAAAGTCGCCACCTACTTCGCGGAGGCGCTGGCGCGGCGGATCTACAAACCCTTAATCGTCAACCATCTCTGCCCATCACCACCACCACTATCTCTCCTCCGCCGTCCACTGCTACCGTTGCCAGATTGATGAAAGGTGCCTCCGTTGACCAACGCCGCCTGCCCAAGGATTTCGACTCCGTCAAGGCCTCTCTGACTACTGTTCGGACAAGAAACCTGTTGCGGTGAACTGGATTAAAGGGAGGGAAAAATCGGTTGTGTGCGAGGCCATCATCAAGGAGGAGATTGTGAAGAAGGTGCTCAAGACTGATGTTGCTTCATTGGTGGAGCTGAACATGCTCAAAACCTGACGGGTTCGGCCATGGCAGGAGCTCTGGGTGGTGTGGTGACGATGGAGAGGTTGTTTTTGGGTTTTTTTGTGCGGGTGTAGAGAATTTCGTGCATGCTGAAACCTAAATCGACTATGTACATGTTCATAGTCGATTAAGCTAATCGACTATGTTCTGGTATTTGATTAAGGTTGATCGACTCCAGTTTTTTTTATTTTTTTTGGATTTCTTGTTTATTGATTTCAATTGTATAAATCATTTATAACGTTTGTATATTTTTCGTTTTTTGTAAAATATAGTTGATTTTGCATTTTTTTCGCAGTTGTAATTTGTTATGTTTAGTAGCAAATTCTTAATCGACTATGCTTCATCATAGTCGATTAATATACCTGATATAGAAAAAAAAATTAAAAAAACAAAAAAAAATTAAAAAATTAAAGAATTTCCTTAATCGACTATGAAGCATAGTCGATTAAGGCTAATCGACTATGCTTCATAGTCGATTAAGGAAACTGATACAGAAAAGACGGAAAAAAAAAACGGAAAAAAAATGCTGAGCGCGGACCCAGTGATGATGTGGCGGGCGGGGCAAAGCTGGAAAACATAATAGCTGAAAATGGGTGTGGGGTTTTCTCAAATGGTCTAAAATATTTTGGGCCTATCCCTATTAAAAAAAGTAATTGGGGGTTATGTCAAAGAGCCCCTAACATTTAAAATAAAACTTACACTTCTCAAAATTTGATTATTTTATTCATATAGATTTATTAGGGCGTATTATTTTGATTAAATAAATATAATAATCAAAATTAATAATAAAAAATATAATAAGTTATACTTTGAAAAGATAAATTGCCTACATTCGAAATTTATCAGATGAAATTTAAAATTAATCTATATGTATAGTTTAATACAAAGAAAAAAAATATATAATATTTTTATTGTGGTTTATTGATATTTTTATTTTAAGAGAAAAATATTTTTTTTTTCTAAAGATCGTAACGGAAATATATTAAAAAATTGAGTTTGTAAAATAAATTATAGTTGATAATAAAGACATGTATTTAACTCAAGGAAAAATGTATAGGGGTAATATGCTAGAGGTCCATAGTTGGAAACATAATTAGATGTGGAATACAACCTTAATATTTTTCTATGAACTAAATCCTTTTTAGAAAAATAAATATGAGTCACATCCTCAATTTTTTTTTATCCCTAATTTACCCTTAACCTAAATCCATAAATTCTAAAGTCACGTTTCTCTCATATTTATTTTTATTTTTTCTTCTCTCTCTCAATCTCGTTCCCTCTCTGTCTCTCGCATCTCGCTCCCTCTCTCGCATCTCGCTCTCTCTCTCTCTCTCTCTCTCTCTCTCTCTCTCTCTCTCTCTCTCTCTCTCTTTCTCTCTCGCAACAATCTTTCTTTGTATATTTCTCTCTCTCTCAATCTTTATCTCTCTACTTTTCGATATCGCTATCTCTATGTCTCTTTCGTTCTCCACCACTCCAATCCACTATTGAGAGGGGCGGTGGTTATGGCGGTGGAGATGGCATCAATAAACAGATGGTTGTAGAGGCAAGGAGACGGCGGCTATGGTGGTTTAAGGTCATATCTATGGTGGAAGGCGCGGCGACGGTGTTGGGCATGGATGATGGCGTGATGGCGACGTTCGGTGATGGTAGTGGTGGTGGATGGTGGTGGTGGATGGTGGTGGATGGTGGTGCTGGAGGAGCGGATCTAGGGTGGTGGGGAAAATATAAAAAAAATCGATTTGGACGTCTATGGGTGTCTATGGGTCTGGCGGCTAGGGTTTGTAGGAGGAATTAGAGTTTCAAGATGTCTATGGATGACTACGGATTACTACAGTTTCATATGGGTTTCTGAAGATGTCTACGACCGAAAAAATTAAAAAAATCATAATTTTCACTTTATGTAAAAAAGAAGGGGAAAAAAAATAGATTTTTATATAATGATAAAATACGGAAAAAAAAAACGTGTTCCACGTAAAAAAAAAAAAAATGCTAGATACAAAATTAAAAATGTTAAATAATACCATAGTTCATCATAGTATATTTACAATTTGGTGTAATTTCGAATTTGTGAGTGGAGGGGCATTTTTGGAATAAATTTAATAAATGATGTGAAGCAAATTTTAGTTAGACTTGTCATTTAGTTCTAATAAGGTTTGTCAACAGGGACTTATAGTAGACATGGCCACGGGTCGGGTCTGACCCGGACCCGCCCCGGACCCGACCCGGCGACCGCCCCGCCCCGCCCCGGCCCCGCCCCGTTGACCATGGACCCGGACCCGGACCCGGAAATGTATGGGTCGGTTTCGGGTCCCGATATTTTGGACCCGAGGTGGACCCGAGGACCCGTCGGGTCCACCCGAATAAAAAAATATTTTTTTTTCAAAATTCGAAAATGCAATGGCTAGAAACCGGACCCGAACCGGACCCGACCCGGACCCGGCCCGGACCCGGTCCGAGCATTCAAAAAATGTTTTTTTTTTTAAATTATAATGGCTAGAAACTCGGGTCCATCCGGAACCGACCCGGACCCGACCCGGACCTGACCCGAAAATTCAATTTTTTTTTTTTTTTTAATTTCAACGGCTAGAAACTCGGGTCCACCCGGACCCGACCCGACCCGAAAATAATAAAATTAAATAAAAAAAAAAAAATTAAGAACATATTTTGGACCCGGACCCGGCCCGGACCCGGAGGACCCGACCCGGACCCGGACCCGCCTCCACGCGGGTCGGTTTCGGGTCCCAAAAAAGTAGGACCCGGACCCGGCGGGTCCGACCCGGACCCGGACCCGACCCGGCCCGTGGCCATGTCTAACTTATATCTTAAGACCCCAAATGTATAATAAGTATAACATGTTATACTTCCGGGGGGCAACAGAAGGTTTTGATAGTACGAGGGAGGTAAGTGAAGCATTTCTATTAGTACAGGGGAGGTAAATGAAATTAACCAAAGTAAAAAACGAAACTGGGTGAGTCACCCACCCGTGTTATTTAAAGCTTGTCGGAGAATTTCGTCAATTTCATTACTAAAATCCTCCGAATCCCAAAGCGATTATTACCCCACTACCATAAATTTAGCTTTACTAAGCTGAACAAAAATATAATCAAACCCTTTAATTTAATTAGATTTTGCTGTTAATAATTCAAAACCCACATCTTAAGCAACAGCTAACCCCAACTTTACTCTTTTTTTCTTGTCCGAAAAATTCACAGCGGCCCCCCTCCACCGCTCGCCCCCTGTTCTTCCATTTCTTGAGCTCTCATAACTGTAAGCCCATTCATCAATTTAATTTAATTTGTTCATGAAGGGTAGGGTTTTGATTTCTTGAAAAAAGATTCGATTTTTATTTTTAGGGCTTTGTCATAGTAGTATCAATCGAACTTGTTGTTTGTTGTTTGATGATTGGATGTAAGAGAAGTTGTTTTGTGAGCTGAAATTTGAAAAAGAAAAGCTCAGATTTTTCCCGTTCATGGTTTCTATCGAAAGCACTTTTCATTCAAAAAGCACTTTTAGCATAGAAAAAGCTGCTTCTTCGGCTTTTGTTCAGTAGTTATGAGGAAGAATGTTAATTCTCACTCGGTAAGGTTATTTAGTGACAGAAGATGGAAAACCCCGTTCTTTATCAGTTTCCTCGTTTCGATCACTCTATTCACCGCCACGATTTTCGGGCTATACTCGTCGCCCAACAACCAAGACCATATACAATCGTTTCCCGATTCCGAGAACTCCGAAGGGTACTTCGTGGAATCCGATTTAGAGAAAGAATCGTTTCAATCGATTCAAGAATCGCCGTTGGAGCCGCCGAGGCTCGCGTATCTAATATCGGGTACGAAAGGCGACAGCCAGAGATTGATGAGGACTCTGCGAGCCGTGTACCATCCGAGGAATCAATATATTCTCCACATGGATCTCGAGGCTCCTCCGAGGGAGAGGTTGAATTTGACGAATTCGGTGAAGAGCGACCCCACGTTTAGCCGTGTGGAGAATGTGCGCGTTATGGCTCAGTCGAATTTGGTTACCTACAAGGGTCCCACAATGATCGCGTGTACGCTACAAGCGATTGCGATTTTGCTGAAGGAGAGCTTGAATTGGGATTGGTTTATTAATCTCAGCGCTTCCGATTATCCGCTCGTGACTCAAGATGGTTAGTTTTGCATTTCTTTATTATCGAAAGAATGAATTTTTGACTTTGTAGACAACATTTTGTACCTTGTTTAATTGGTTGTATCGTATATGAATTACTATTTTACGAGGGATAAGGTTATTTTTAAGGGTAAATTACCCCTGAGGTAAGGTCAAATTACGAATAAACTCTTCCTGTTTGGGTAATTATAACCACCCCTCAACTATGAATCTTCTTACATGTCCACTTTTACGGTGTCAAATTGAACATAATCTAGAAGATTCCGTGGAATGTTATCAAGTTTGTACTCGTTTTGTGCAAAAATGCAATTTCTGATGCACCACAATATGATATTTATAAGCCAAGAGACACATCTTATGATCATCTTGTTTCAAAATGTGGAGCTCGAATGAGATATAGCGGGTACAAACGGGAGAATATTCCACATAATGTAGAAGATTCCATAATGTAGGATATTCCACATAATGTAGAAGATTCCATAATCTAGGATATTCCACATAATCTAGAAGATTCCATTAAATTTGTCACCGCATTAAATTTGACACTGCAATGATGGACTTGTAAGTAGATTCATAGTTGAGGGGTGGTTGTAATTAACCAAACATGAGGGGTTTTTTCGTAATTTGGACTTTACCTCAGGGGTGGCCATAATTTACTCTATTTCTAGTGAGCAATTTTTTTTATTGTGCAGATTTGCTCTATGCTTTGTCAAATGTGTCCCGGAATATCAACTTTATCGAGCATACACCGATACATGGATGGAAATTGTACGGTACCTCGATATTCAATTATTAAAGGCTTACTCTAATTATTTACATTTAAATCAGAAGAATTAATGGTTTTCATGTTTGATTGTAATATCTGTTTTAGGAGCCAGAGAGTAAAGCCTATCATAGTCGATCCAGGTCTTTACTTATCTAAAAAATCGGATATTTATTGGACTACTCAACGGCGCTCGATACCGACATCTTTTAAGTTATTTACAGGTGAGTTTATACCTAGAAATTACACGATTTTGCAATCGTTAGACCGTTAATTTGAAGAAAAAAAAATAGAATGTCTCGTGTTGAAATATTCGGGTCGTTTTTTGATGTATAGCATTTCTATTAACAAGGTAGTTCATTCCGGGCTAGCATAGTTATAAGTATATGTTGAATTGTTTTCGTCGCATGTTAGTGTAAAATGACGAGAGTATTTGTAAAGGAGGCGATAATGTGGGTGTGTAAAAATACGAGAAGAATCTCATAATTACTCGATAAACACGAGTGAGAGATGATCATATATACTGATTGAGTTGCAACTTTTCAGAGTTTCGTTAGTATTAGACTACGAAGTTCTTGCTTATATTTCAATTTAATAGATCTAAAAAAAAGCTAAGTTAAGATTGTGTAGTAATTCGGGTCGAGTTTGGAGTAAATATCCTTCATGTCAGTATTCTTGACTAAAATACGGATTCTTTTTTTTTTTTTTTATATTTATTTATTTTTGTTTACTAATGGCTCGACTAACCCCGAACACTTGACAAATCTTGATGATAGTCATAATTCCTTAACAAAGCCTTTGCACATTGTGAAACTACAAATTTCTTGCCTTAGGCCTCGTTTGGCTGGTAAGATTAGCCATGGTTAGTTAAATAATTGGACATTTTTAGATGTTTGGTAAGTCCAATAATTTTTTCGGGTCGCCCCGCAACTGTGGGGAAAATGACTACAATTTTGACGAATTGAGTGTCTATAAAGATTGGGGAAAATTATCTCGTAAATAATGTCTTTTTGTTTTTTTTTTAATAATTCCACGCAGGATCGGCATGGGTGATGCTAACTCGATCGTTCGTAGAATACTGCATATGGGGGTGGGACAATCTCCCCCGAACAATACTAATGTACTACACAAACTTCGTCTCATCTCCAGAAGGCTATTTCCACACCGTTATTTGCAACACCGAACACTTCCGGCACACCGCGGTGAATCACGACCTACACTACATTGCTTGGGACACGCCACCTAAGCAGCACCCGAGGCTGCTCACGATGAAGGACTTTGCCAAGATGACCAACAGCAGCTCACCTTTCGCTAGGAAGTTTCCAAAGGATGACCCGGTTTTGGATAAGATCGATAGGGAGCTGCTCGGGCGAAATGACCGATTTGCCCCCGGTGCGTGGTGCGTGGGGAGCACCGCGGGCTCGGCGGATCCCTGCTCCGTGAGGGGTGATGACTCGGTGTTTAGACCGGGACCCGGTGCGGAGAGGTTAAAGGAGCTTGTTAAGACTTTGTTGTCGGAAGATTTTCGGAGTAAGCAGTGCTCCTCCTCACAAGGGTGACGTTTTTTTTTTTTTTTTTTTTTTTTTTTTTATACACATGAATACATGATTTATAGAAACTGTTTGCAATTTTTCGAAGCAAGTGGTGGTCTTCTTTAACCGGGGGTGGGTTGGAAAAATGTACATTAATGTGTTGAACAGAATCTTGTACAATGTAGAATTTTGTAATTTTTTTTTTAATGTAAAAAATCTATTTTTAATGTTGTTAAGGTTTTTTAATTTGACATACCCTTAGGCCTTGGGCCAATTGAAGTACCTAAACTATTTTTACTAAATCAGTTGTAAAACCTATCCGCTCTCAGATCAGCATTTCTGGCCAAATGTGTTTTTGGGTGATGATCGTGCTTTTTGGAGGAGTCATAACTTTCTCTCTGGCGGTTGGAATTCGATGATTTAACCGGTGGTTGGAATTCGATGATTTAACCGTTGCTGAATTCCTTTTGCTGGACTCTTTCTTTTAATGGTGATTCTATATGGTTTGAAGCTTTGGATCTATTTTTGCAATTGTTCTACAGTTCACGCGTATTTCAATGACGACAGGTCTTTTTAGAGTCACAACTTTCTCTTTGGTTGTCCGAATTTGATGGTTTAACTATCATTGGATTCCTCTCGTCGAGCTCTTTCTTTTGATGGTAGTTTCATATGTATTGGAACTCTGGATATGTTCTGGTGGTCGTTTTAGAGTTCGCGTCTATTTCGACGACGACAGTTATTTTTGGAGATGTAATTTGTTTTCTGGCTGTCAGAATTTAACGGGTTATTTACTGTTGGATTCCTCTTGTTGAGATTTGCCTTTTGGTGTTAAGTTTGTTCAATTTTGACAGTCCTGTTTGTTTTTGTAATTTTTTTTCATTCAACATTTTTTTGCTAACTGCTCTATAATTTAAATTGAACAACACAATATTGTATGCAATTTTACTAGTATTGTCTCCTCGAACAACACAATCAAATATGTTTTTTGTTTGGTTTTAGAATATATCTTAGTGGAAGCCATTGATCTTCTCTGTTAGAATCCGCTGGATTCTGACTATATAAGGAACACTTGTTGAAAACGTGTTTCTCAACATAGGGAAGTGTCTTTAGAGTTTTAAATTCTTATTTTGTCATTAATTTATTAATATTATGAGTTATTTTATAACAAGGAATTTCCTTGTTTTACAACTCTCGTTCCTTCCGTAATATATGACTCTAACCCTAACGAACTTTATTCCCTTTAGGGCTCTTATTCACCAAAGGGAGTATAAATATATGTGCACAGGCGTGTTTACGGTTGTCCTTTATGTGAGAGAGAAATATAATTTCTGCTCTCTTCGTTTTGGTTGCTCTTTATATTTGGTATTGCTTGAGAAGAAAAACGTATTTAAGGTTTGCTTCTTTCACGCGAAAAAAAGTTTTGTTCTTCGGGAGGAGAGCTTAGAAGATCTCGGGAGGAGGTCGATCCGCCGATTGAGGGATTCAACGTTGAAGGGATTTCAACCGTGCGGAGCAAATGACGTGGTGCAAACTGAAGATTTATAATTCAGAGTAAAATACAAGAACGACGTCAACAAAGAGGGAGTCTTTGTATTTTGATTAAGTCCTACTATTGTATTCGTAAAACTAAAATTAGTAAATTTCATCTGCACGTCCTCGTGGATGTAGGGTACAATTGTATCCGAACCAAATGAAAATTTGTGTCTTTTATTACTGTTTCATTAAATGTTGCAACTCTCCGTAAAACAGTATCTGAAACTGAATCTGAGATTAATCCGACACAAATAAATAATTAATTTGCATGAAATAATTATAACAATTGGCATCAAGAGCCTGTCACTAAATACATCTAGTGAGATTTTGGGAACTAATAATTCTTATTTTGTGCAGATATTAGCTTCAACTACTCGTCCACCCCCCCTTCTAATCGGTTCCAACTACTCATACTGGAAGTCAAAATGAAGATGTTCATCAAATCCATAGATGAGAGAGCATGGCGCGCCATCATAATTGGTTGTACACCTCCAATGATCAAAGAAGAAGACAAATCGGAAGTGATCAAACCAGAAGCATATTGGAGCGATGGAGAGATATTACTCGCAAACTACAACTCAAGGGCCTTAAACGCAATCTTCAGTGGTGTGGACGATAATCAATTCTAACTGATAGCATCATGTGAATCAGCAAAAAGAGCTTGGGAAATCCTCCAAGTAACATACAAAGGGACGTCAACTGTTAGGACATCCAAGTTATAGATGCTGGCCACCAGATTCGAAAATCTGAGGATGGAGGAGAATAAGACGATCACTGATTTTCATGCTAAACTATGTGATATCTCCAACGAATCATACGCACTCGGTGAACCTTACTCAGAAAACAAACTAGTGAGGGAAGCATTGCGTTCACTATTGTTAATCTCTTTCAATTTTTTTCCTTTTTTTTTTTTTTTTTTTTTGGCTTCTACCTTTGCAGACCAACAGTCACCACCATGGGGAAACGCGTGACCACCGCCAGTCCGTCCTCTTCTTCGACGGCTAAAGCCACGCGTCGCTCCCTTAGGACTCCGGTGCACACACCTCCAGTGAATCCACCGCCCACTCGCCGCTCCAGTCGCCGTCCACTGTCGGGGTCCCTTCAATGGCTATGCCCCTCCGGTTTATCGAGGCTCCGCTCTTCCTCACGCCTGCCTCAGATTCCAATTTTGGGAATTTGCCAATCGTCTTGGCCTCTAGGGTTTCTTCACCCTCATCGCCGCCCGTTGCACCGCCGTCGCCGCCCATCACACCGTCGTCGCCATCCACTTATTCTCCACCATCGCCGCCCATTTCACCAACCATTCATTCTTCGCTGCTGCCATCTCCTCAGACACCACCGCCATCGCCGTCTGCCCAACCGTCGCCACCACAGTCTCCATCACCACCGGCGTCACCACCGCAGCCACCTAAGTCTTCTGTAAACAAGAGCAAAGGCAAGGCCCTTGATGATGAGAGGTCTGTCCCATCTTTCGCTTCTGGTGCACCACCACTCCGTCGCACACACCGGCGAGCACCTCCACCAGTAAATGATGATGCCTCGTGCTCTGCTGCACCTTCTGCTGCTGCCACTTCTGATCCGGATCCGGTGCTTCCTATCTCTGTTTCTGACGCTTTCAATGCCCGGTTCTTTCTCCGAGCAAATCAAACCCGATGGATGATTTGGGTTCTCCCCCTGTGGATGATCCGGGTTCTCCCCCTTTATGAGCAAGGGCAGTGAAACAGGCAAGTTTTTGTCGGAGTTCCACGGGTTCTGAAAGTGCAGGTGCTGGGATAGTAGGGGAGACCGTCCGACGAGACTTGACGGAGGTCGAAGATGCAGTCGGGCGACACGGCAGATCGTCCACTTGTGGTATGCGCCGTGGATCAGAAGTGGGGTCCACGATCTTTGAGGAAATAGAGAGCGGGAGTGGAAGAGATGAGACTGCATTTCGCCGATTGCGAACATAACCTTGATTGCACAAAAGACGAAATATCAGAGACGGAAACGGAAGAGCAAAAGTCGTGGACTGGGAGTCAGCCTCAACAATTATTTCCTCGAACAAAAATTGGTCCAAGTCAAACACAGTGGCAGTGCCAATGTAGTAAAGAAGAAGACCCCGTCTTCTAGTCAAAGATCCTGATGGGCAGTTAGAAACCAATTGGCGGTACCAATCGAGTAGAGAATCATGTAAGTCATGGTCAGGTCGGTCGTTTTAAGAGGCCACGAACCCGATTTACCCCAGTGAGAGTAGAGATCAAATCGGTGTCAGCAACATGTGGGGCCACAATACCAACCGTGTTGAGATAAAAAAGGCAGCAATACGAGTAGTGTTGAACTCATAAACTCGTTTAGAAACATAGACTCTTTCATAGAAAGGACTTCTACAATCAGACACCGCACTTGTCAGATTTGCATAAAAGTCGTGAATGATTTGACTCTCAAAATGTTCAATCCGAGACACGGTCTAAAAAATCCCAACACGGCGCAACAAATTTGTAATCCCAAAATCATCAAAGTTAGGCCCCAACGTGCATTGGGGAACAAGAGCACGCTGACTTACCAGAGACTACCGGGTTTGATTTGCTCGGAGAAAGAACCGGGCATTGAAAGCGTCAACAACAGAGATAGGAAGCACCAGATCCAGATCAGAAGTGGCAGCGGCAGAAGGTGCATCAGAGGTCTCAGAGTAGAATACAAGAACGACGTCAACAAGGAGGGAGTCTTTGTATTTTGATTAAGTCCTACTATTGTATTCGTAAAACTAAAATTAGTAAATTTCATTTGCAGGTCTTCGTGGATGTAGGGTACAATTGTATCCGAACCACATTAAAATTTGTGTCTTTTATTACTGTTTCATTAACTGTTGCAATTCTTCGTAAAACAGTATCTGAAACTGAATCTGAGATTAATTCGACACAAATAAATAATTAATTTGCACGAAATACTTATAACATTTTCATTTGAAGGTGCCAAAATCTGATTGAAATTGTAGGCGAATTTGGAGAATTTGACATATGTTTCAAGTTACAGTCGACTACATACTAAACATTACTGTAGTTATGTATAGTAGTAACCTATAGTTAACATATACTGACAAATGTGTGTTTGTGTTTTTCGATCTGTATTTGTTGGTTACCAGTTGATTTATAATATTAATTTTAAATTGTGAATTTTGTTGATGTTGGTGATTTTAATTTTTTTTTTTTTGGTATAAATAAGTGGTGATATTCGTGAGTGTACATAATTGATCGACAATAATGTTGGGGCAAAACGAAAGAACTCCCGTGTGCTTGCAAACGAAAGAAAATAACTACAAATAAAGATATATATATATATATATATATATATATATATATATATATATATATATATATATATATATATATATATATATATATATATAGAATGGAAAATATAAAGGGATAGGTCCACTCCTAAAATTCTTTCTTTGAGATATCCCTTGGAGAGGCAAAAATACTATTGTGCCCTTAAGTGCAATTTTCGCCCAACTGCATTCGGTATTTT